GGCGGCGCGTCCCGCCGCGGCGCGGCCTCCCCCGCGCTGCCCCTGCCGCGGCGCCGCCGAGGCGAAAATGCAAAACGAAATAAAAATAAAAGCGGAAATCAAGCGGCAGCTCTGCCCCTGGACCCCAACGGGGCGCCCCCGCGTTCTCCTCGCAGCCTCACGCTCCTGGGAAGAGCACAAAGGCTGTTCACTGCCTCTGAATAAAATAAATAAATAAATAAATAAATAACCAAAAAAACCCCGAAAAAATATAAATATATATTACATATGTATACACACACACACAGGCTCTGTATAAAATTAATGCCCTGGTTAATTAATCACCGCTTTTACCTTACTAAATCAGGCCAGTTTACAGAAGGCTTAACAGAGACCTGTAGGAAGTGCTGAGCTGAGTCACAGGGTCCCGCAATAGCCAGGGTGGGGAGCGACAGGCAGAGCCCCTGCTCCAGCCCCTGCTGCAGCAGGGTCACCTTGAGCATCTCAAGGATGGAGGCACCGCAGCCTCCATGGGCAGCGCGGCACCCTCACGGCAAGAAGCACTTCTTTGTGTTCAAGGGGAACAAATTGCCAGTGTTGCTCTCCCAGGGTACCTCTGAGAAGAGGCCAGCCTTGTCCTCGCAACACCCTCCTGAGATACTTAGGCATATTGATAAGACTCACCTCAGCATTCTCTTCTCCATGCTGAGCAGGCCCAGCTCTCTTGGCATCTGTTCATGAGAGATGTTCCAGCTCCTTAAATATCTTTGTGGCCTTTCTTGCCTAGCAGGTCCAGGTCTTTCTTGTCCTGCAGAGCCCAGCACCAGATACAGTCCTCGAGACGTGGCCTCACCAGAGCTGAGTAGAGGGCAGGTTTACCCACTCAACCCACTGTCAACAACCCTCCTAATGCACCCCAGCGCACCATTGGCTTTCTTGGCCATCGAGGCACATTGCCGGCCCATGCTTAGCTTGGTGTCCTCCAGGATGCCCAGGTCCCTCTCTGCAGAGCTGCTCTCCAGCTGGTCATCCTCCTGCCTGTACATGTGCATGGGGTTATCCTCCCCAGGGGCAGGGCTTGAATGAAGCTGCTTAGGTCTTCAGAGTAGTAGTTCTGTTCACTTTGCCTAGTGCTGTATTAAATACTTTCCTATTAAGCTTTGTTTATTTTTTCCATAAGCAAATTCACATTTAAATTGTTTTCAGAATTACTCTACCAGTTCAAAACTTAATCTTCTGCATGAATTAATGTCAGCTGTAGTATTTTTATTAGACATGGAAACATATTACTATTGATATGATACTATTATTTTCAGAGAATAAAATTATTGCTTTACACTCCTTCTGTTTAAAGATCTTCCCTGTTCATGTTCAGAAAGGTCTCTCTTTTTTGTTTTTTTTTGGTCATTCTTGCCCTCAGTCTGTATTTTGTCTGTATTTTTGCATGTATCACTATAACATGCAGTTTCAAAAGCCCACTTCCATATCTCACTAGACTATGGTGCACAAGAGTCCATGATTACTTTCAAGGGTGTAGGAGAAGAGAGACAAGATATCTGATAGCAGGTAGGAGACAGAGATGAAGGATTGCCTTGTAATGAGAAATACTTTTTCCTAACTCTGAATATTTCTATGCTTGAAAAAGATGTAGCAACAGGATAAAAACTACATGCACGTTTGGGCTAGAAACTGGAAGGTTCCCTACAACCAACAAACTGTGGGCCTAGAATAGGCTCGAAAACAAGAAGAGCAGGACAGGGAGCCAAACTAGCTTTAAGGCAGAGCTTCACCATGTTCTCATGGTTATTCTGAAACTTATCAACAGGGCTCAGTATCTCAGACGGTCCCTTACACTTCTGTGACCTTCTCAATTTTATGACTTAAAAGCACTTCTGTCCATTGCAATACATCTGGCTAATACAGTCATGTGGGGGTTTACTGAAAGTGTTTATTTCGAAGTAAATTTTCCATTTGTGATTAAGTTTTACCCATGTTTTCCCTCAAAGCAAGAATTATAATTATTGCATATGATGAATATACTGCTTGAAGATCTCAGGCTCAGAGGTAGGCATTACCAGTGGGATTTCTGAATACTTACCAAAGTAGGAAACAAAACATTTAAGGCTTCAGCTGAGTAAAAACACATTCACTGCTGGGAATTATGCAATTAGTGTAGCAAAGTAATAAAAAGTAAGCTCAAAGATTGAAAACTGATTATCATTTAATTACTTACAGCTAAGTGACCTCTGTTGCATTTATTTCTCAAAAGAATAAATAAATAAATAAAATAACAGCAGGGTTTACTTGAAGGCCCAAAGCAGCAGCATTAGAAAGACACAATACAGTTTCCTTCCTGTTGTGTGGAACATTGCCCATACTGGCCTCCAGTTGTGTCTTTTTCCTATGTCATCATGAATGCAGTATAGTGCTGCAGGAAAAAAAAAATGTACAAGGATGACAAACAAGTTTGCAGTTTATTTGCACAGAGGGGGTATTAGCATTGACAAGATAGCAATTTAGCAACTTCTGCTATCAAATGAAGCAGACATTGTTTCCATTAACAAAAATCAAACATTACAACATGAAAATTTCCAGGCTTATGAACAATATAATTGATATCTCTCTGCAGACAGAGGCTAAGCTCATACTCTCACTGAGGTCTGTATGAACTCTCAAAGACCTAAGGAGGTAAGGAATTCATTTTAAGACTTCAAAAGACACCATGCCAATAAAACAAGCAATACTCTGAGTTGCAGGCATTAATTTGTGTTGTCAAACATTTTCGATGTATTTCTTCCTGGGAAATGACCAGATACTGAGAGAATACAGAGCTCCGCTGTGCATGCCTTGAGCAGCCAAGAAATATCCAAAGAAATACCCAAGAAAACACCCAAAGGTTAAGCACATTGGTGCTTTGTGAAGCTCAGCCTCGTGAAAATGATGCTGAGGAAATGATGCTGGAGTTAAAGTCTGTTCTGCTGCTTTCATTAAAAGTACAGTTGCTGCAATACTTGAAACAGCTTTTGTTCCTAGTTAAGATTTTTAATGAAAATATAGGTTTCCATCCAAATGTTTTCTTCAAAGAAACTTAAACAGACTGTTTTAGTATTAAACTGGCACTTCTATTAAGACTGCCAATCAATTTTATTTTGACAAAACCTAATGAATAGAACATTTTAATTAGTTATATTCTTACCAGAGCCCGGCCAATGCTAATAGATGATACTTCTACCTTCATCCTTTGTAGTTGTTTCCTGTCCAGCACAGCAAAGCAAAGCAAACAAACAAACAAACAAACAAACAAAGAATGGCAACCTCAGATTGCCCCTAAGAAAGCACTGAGAAGCCTGTAAACCTCACTTAGAAGCTAAACTTCTGGAACTCAGTAGCGCCCTGGGTGCTTTTGGACTCCACTCAGGGGGAGGAAAGCCCCAGATGCCCGAGATTAAAACATGATCAAACCCTTAACATCTGTTCAATACACCCTTAGTGTCATGTCACACAGACAGAGTTTATCTTGAAGGTGGAGTTTAACAGGAGCCCCCAATGTTGTCTTCCTGATTCTCCCCCTGTGCATAATTAGTGTTTGACAGCATCGACCACACATACTAGATCGTCATGGTGTCTGAATAGGCAGCCTGCCAGTGCAAATGCAAATGAATTGGGATTATTACTCCAGGCTTTTTCAAAAGCAATAGCAGCTGGTGCTGAGAAGATAGGGGAATAAATAACGCCAGCTGAAGTCCCTTTTCTATTGGAAAAGGAAGAAAACTAAACAAACAGAAGTCCAGCTGTTTAGCAAATACTTTCTTCTCCACAATTGTTCTGAGGCTGAGAGAAGCAGCAGTGGCAGCTGCTGATGGAAAAGAACAACCACTCTTTTCCATCGGAGTTCAGGCAAACACTAACACTTCAGAGCACAAAGGAAAAAAAAAGGTATCCAAACTGACTCTGCCAAGATTTCACTGCTATCCACTGGTAAAATAAGGATACGTTTATAATAGAAAATTTGAAATTCAGTCACTAGTAGAGTTAAATTGCTAGTCCATCTCTGGCATGGGTTTTGCTGAGGCCAATCTGTGGTCTCCCAGGAAAATTTCCAGTCTTTAGGATATATCTTTTCCATATGCCCCTTCTCCATACCCCAAGTTACAAACATTTTACATGGATTTGTGTCCAGTGGAAGACAGCAGAAATAGCAGACATAGCAGAAATAAGATGCCTCACACTGCATAATGCTGCAGTATTCTGCAGAAAAACTTTCAGTAACTAGGCTCAAACCACATAGTTTCATTTAAAAAAGAAATAAATAAGAAAATATATGCAATGATATGTGCTGCCTGCTTTATTCCGTCTGTTTTAAGGAAAACACACTTGTTTTGATTTTAAGATACCTATTATGCTTCCTTTGAAAGTCTGCTCTCTTCTGCAATATAACCACATCTCTCCTGAATTATGTTGCCTCAGACTGAATATCTTACTGTTCAGAATACATAATAATAATTTTCCATTATTTATTATACTTTTCCCGTTTGTTTCTGAAGTGTCTTTCCTACCATCTCAGGGGAAGCAATTAAAACTAACAAGGAAATCCTAAAGTGACAAACATTTTGGAAAGCTTCTCCCCTTCTAGAAATAACTTGCTGTCTCTATATACAGTCACACATAAATTCATGGCACATTCTTAAGGAACTGTTAGATCTAACTAGAAATAGGCAGTAGCACAAGAGTCACCTTCTACACGTGGGAATCCTTTTCTCTAGCCAAATGTTTCTGGTCTGGACTATGTTATATACTGCACATTCGCTATGACTGCAGTAACACTGTTTTCAATGTAATGGAAAAATGTAGGTAATACAGGTGTTTTGGAGCAGGCTGCAGAAATACCAGCCTTCTAGAGTGAATTAGCTCTTTCTTGTACCACCCTTGTAGAAACCAATCTGCTTCTAACTCAGCCATTTCAGAGAACAGCTGATTTGGAGGACTCATGAGTGTTTCTAAACTCCCAGACCTGGGCAGGTGCCACATTATAACCCCACACAAGACAGGGGACTCCTCACTTTGAGCTCCTTCCTTGGGAGAAGGAACAGCATGGGATGTGAAGGAACAAGGAACATGCTCCAGCCGCTTGCTGTCTGGATGATGGGGACACCGAGACATTGGCAAACACAGTATTTTAAGATACTGAAAATTATTTGATTGTACACTGCTTTGAAACACGCTAAATGCTGGAATTTAGCATTTGAAAGGTATTTTCTTCAGTATTGAAGGTATTTGGAATTGTTGGAAGGTATTTTCTTCAATTTGTGAATTTCATAGTTTTTTAATACATTCTCTTTTCCTAATATTGCTTAAAAACCTGGACAGCAGAAGCAGGATCCAGTATTGCTGTACCAGGTATAATCACTTCCCTGGTTTCATCGCCCCATTTACCACTCCAAGGACTGTATTATCTCTTTCTGCTACAGCATCTCTTGGGCTTACCAACATGCAACAGTGAGATGTGTACATCTTAAAGTAGACATCCTCATCCAGCATCCTAATCACAGCTGTAGCCTTCTCAGCTAAATTACTCCTTCTGAAGATATATCCAAGTTTTACCAACCAGAGTGTTGTATTTGCTTTCTAGTCTGTTCACTATTGGACTTCACACCAAGTGCTGTAAAACCCTACCAGAAACATCCCATGTGATACTCCATGTCAAAGGCTACTTTGTGAAATTTGTCCGTTCATTTTTAAACATTTTAAAGTAAGCTTAATTCATTAATTTCTTCATTAATTCATTATTTTCTAAGTATATCAGGATATATTTAGTCAAATGCCATTTGTAAGAAAGATGATCTACAAATACAGCATTACTGGCAAATAGGAAATAACTTTAAACAATGATGTCAAAAGATACACCAAAGACAAGACCTGCTTTTCTCCATACTGATAAAACATCTCAATTGTTTTATCATGATTTACATGCTTATATTTCACAGTTTTTAATGGGCTCCTATATTATGACTCATTTTTATTATTTTGCAGCATGGCTAGCCTGTTACCTACT